TTTTTTTAAATCCGAGGTCGGGGCTTTGCTCCCTTATACCAGGGACATTTGTGCCCGCCCCAATGTGATATTTGTTGAAACAATTATCTAACAACATGCCTCATTGTTAACAGGAAATCAAAAAGAGGGAAGAAGCTGTTTCTAGAGGTGGTTGACAATAATACAATACACAAGTGATGACATTGAATGTATTTTGGTTTTGTTTATGAAGCTATATTGACTGACTATAACTATTTCAATGTCGCGCAGCTGGTGTCCCTGCTGACGACAGAAACTGGCCTCCATTTTTTCCCATTATTCATCATGATATAGCCAATGAAATACCAGTACATGCTCAGAAGTTGCAGTACTTGGCTTTTGCTAGCTGGCTAGGTATGCAAAGTTAATTGTCCCAATTCATCCTCACATAGTTTTATTTGTTATTTTTTTTTCCCTTTTTCCTTCTTTAATTTCTGCTTTTCTTTTTTGTTTTTATGGGAAGGAAATGGACGTTTCAAAAGATATGAAAATTGTGCACCTTATATTAGGCAAGAGACCCAATCAAGATAATGCCTATTTTTTTTAGTACAATACGTGGATAGAGATCAAACTTACAATCTCTTGGTTTGAGATATATGCCAATTACTTCTAGTTTGCTTTCTGCCTTTATTTAGTAAATGAGTGACATACCAACCCCTCTTCCTCTATTTTTTTCTTTTAGAAACTTTATATTAAAATATTTTAGTTTGTAACTCTACTATACATGAAAGAGTTACTCTTCTACTCTTCTACGCTTACATGATGTGCTTTAGCTCACTCAAGTTCTTGCCTCGGTTAGCACCTGATCTATAGGCCCGAGGAAGCATTTGTACTTCTAGCATACCCTGTCCCATAAAAGAAAGAATATTGGACTTTTTCTTTCTAAGCATATATCATGCAACATAGTTGTTTTGTACTCTACATCTTCATCCCTTGCTGTTTTTGCAGGTATAGTGTTGTGCCTGGTCTTCAATGTAATTGCTATAACCGTCAATTGGATAAGAGGCGGGGGTAATTATGTCACTCTTGATTCTTTTTTGTGAAATGGTTTTTTACCTTAAGCTGCAACAAATGGGTTTGTTGACTGTTGTCACAACTTGCAGGAGTCATAATCTTTCTCCTTGCTGTAATATACTCCATACTTGGAGTTCCTCTTTCATATGTGCTGTGGTATAGGCCTCTGTACCGTGCTATGAGGTGAGATTGGATAATCTTTGTATTTCATTCAAATGAATTTAGAGGCTCTCCTTTATTGGGTTTCTCCCTACGCTGTTGTTATATGTGCGCTCATTCTTGTACACTTTTGGTGATTTGCTGATCGCTGATGGGATTTTGTATTTTAACTTGCAGGACAGATAGTGCCTTGAAGTTTGGTTGGTTCTTCCTGTTCTACTTGGTACGTGAAATTTGTCTCAAGAAATAATGGTCTGTTTTTAATCCCTTGTTTCATTTAGTAGTCAATTAATTAAATTTTCACCGTGCAGATACATATTGGATTTTGTATTTTTGCTGCCATTGCACCCCCAGTTGTGTTCCATGGGCAGTCATTGACGTAAGTTCATTACTACCATTTCATTTTTAGGCTTTTAATATTGCTTGCATTGTGCTAAATATATACTCCAAATATTTTCAGGGGCATCTTAGCAGCAATTGACGTCTTCTCTGCCCATGTTTTGGTTGGGGTAAGTTCTGAATATAAAATAATAGACAACTATAAATATCTTAAACCACCTCTATATTTATTTATAATGTGAAATGGGGGATACGATCAAGTTTCATCAATTTGACTGTCTTCATGTCTTCATTGCATTATTATGCATAGTTAGGTGCTGTCATCGTGTCTAAAAATTGAGTTTAAACTATATCATATAAATATCAATGGAATACAAAATATATATATATATATATATATATAATTATAGCTCAATTGGTTTAGACATATATTTTAGACCAAGAAAGCAAAGGTTATCGGTCTATATTCCATGAACCATTGTTTTCAACATTGTATGCAAATTGCAATATAAATTTAATGGAAAGTTAGATTCCTATTTCCTATTGTATCTATTAACATGCTTATGCTACTCCAAATTTGACTAACATTGGATTTCTTGTAGATATTCTACCTCATTGGATTTGGCTTTTTTTGCTTGGAATCGCTCCTTAGTTTGTGGGTCCTTCAGGTAAGAGACTCAACATCCTTATCCTCATTTCCTTTTCTTTTTCTCTTTTATTATTATAATTTTTCTTCTTGGAGGGGAAGCACAGTTTTGTTAGATTTTAGAGAGGTCGTTCCTTGATTTCTGCTTCCCTCAATAAAATTCAAAATATTGGGTATATTGTGGATTTGTTTGACTTAATAATGTAACTCGATTAATGTACAAACATTCATATGCTTCTATTAGAGTAGCTCCAAGCTACTATTTAAACCTTCCAAATTAAACAAAATCATAGATTATTGGAACCGAGATAGAAAAATAAGACAATCTAACAAGATTTGTAGAGACGAAGTTTGAGTTTGGCCACGATTTACGATTTTCTGTATCTCACTCTTCTTCTTGGTTTTTGCAGAAAACCTACTTGTATTTTAGGGGAAACAAGTGAGAGAGATTAAGCAACGGTTGCAACGTTGTGGCGTTTGGGCATCGTTTCGGTCAGTCATTGTATTTTAGAACGTTGGTTGGTGGTTCGTTTGTGAGGTGAGAGAAAGATGTGGATTCTAAAATTGTTTATTGTTGATGGGTGATATAAGGTATATAGTTTTGCGCCAAATCTATCTGGCGATGCAAAAATATTAGATAGTCTGTTTTGGTTTTGTTTTTGAGCTACAGATATATAGCTTAGAACTTAGAAGCATCTATCTGGTGCGGTGAGGTGCAGTGGAGTTGGGGTGTACCATTTTCTCCCTTCCTAAACTCTCTCTTCTGTCTCATGCATATTTTTGTCCCCTCCCCCACCCCAATTATTAACATTCTCTTAGTCGTTTTTCCTTTTTTTTTTTTCTGAAAAATATTTGAGTGTTATTTCTTTGATCACCATTAACTTTTCGACAAGTAGAAGAGAGATGCAAAAAAAGAGATCTTTTTGTGTTGTCGTATGGATAAAGAAGATGCTAACTAGAGTGCTTAGAGATTTAAAATTTGTTTGACTTGCAACAACTATTGCACCTAGATCGAAATACAAATTAGTGTTTAATGAGTGTTTAATGGTATATAGAATCAGTCTTTTTTGAGTTTTGAGGCTTGAATCTTGAAAATGAAACTAAATCCTGTTCCTTCTATCTATAAGGGGGAGAGAAGATAGGTAGCATGATTACGTTCTTTGTTTAGTTGTGTTAAATGCTCAAATTGAAAAAAATTCTGAAAATTTTGTGTTATATTCAAATTGACGAAAATTCTGAAAAAGGAAATTTTGAAAAGGCAGGTTCTTTGGGTGTCAAAATTTGTGTCGAAAATCAAAATTTTATTCTAAATGACCTCAGAAAAGAAAATAATAATGAGAAAGTTTTCCTTGAGAAAATGCTCTCGGTTTGCTAATATCAAGTGGTATCTTTGGCATATGCTACTCCATTCACCATTCTACTATTGGCGAAGTTACGATTAATCAAATTAAGATGTAAAATTTTTCTTAAAATTAAATAACAATCTAATCACGAATATATTTATATGAATATTTTCATTCGCTTTTTTATTGAATTTATGGTTCAAAATATGCAGAGCATTGAGAAAGTGTACAATTTTGAAGACCCTAGGATCCAATTAATTGGATTTCAGAGTTTTCACCTCTTCTCAATTCCACACCTCTCACTCCTCATCTATAACTGTCCAACCATTTATTTCCACGTGGCATCCCAAATATCCAAACTGAAAGAGATCCACCACATAAGTTTCTCCCATTACTGTTTCCCATCACCTCATCAAGAACTCTATCTTTCATAAGAAAGCATACATTTCAACTCTTCAAAGGAAAAAATAACTAGGAAATTACAATTTTACCACCGTCCACTGTCAAGATTTTACCAAGAAATCAGGGGTACTTGAAGAAATTTCTAAGTGAGCTGATAGATTAGCCTTCACCAGCATCCCAGATTTCCCCTTACTTTTCAGACTGTTTTCTGTTTTTTGATCCCATATTTAGCCTCCTCTAATCTTTGTGTTCTAAATCTTTCCTCTGCAAGAAAAAGAGGGGGTGAAAAGAAGGCTAAACCCATAGCTTAGAGTAACCAAAGATCCAAATTGAAACGCCATCTTTTTCCCCCTCCTGAGTTGCTTTCTGAGGAGAGAGAGTGAGAGAGAGAATGGCAACAGTTTCCACAGCCAAGTCCCTGAACTACACAGAATCAGTCTACTCATCATCAAAAACCAGCTTAGGATATCCCCAAAAACAGGTGATTTTCTTCACCAGAGGCAAGAAAACCAACAAGAGAGGGCCATGGCTGATAACCTGCTCAGCAGGTGACCAACAGACAGTTGTGATTGGGCTTGCAGCAGACTCAGGGTGTGGGAAGAGCACATTCATGAGAAGGCTAACCAGTGTGTTTGGAGGGGCAGCAAAGCCACCAAGAGGTGGAAATCCAGACTCCAACACACTCATCAGTGACACTACCACTGTGATATGTTTAGATGACTACCATTCATTGGATAGGACTGGAAGAAAAGAGAAGGGAGTCACTGCTCTTGACCCAAGAGCCAATGACTTTGATCTCATGTATGAGCAAGTCAAGGCTCTCAAGGATGGGATTGCAGTTGAGAAACCAATTTACAATCATGTCACAGGTCTCCTAGATCCACCTGAGCTTATTAAGCCCCCTAAGATCCTTGTCATAGAAGGCCTACACCCAATGTAAGTTCCATCTTCCCCAATTTCCCTCCCTCCTGAATTCAATTCTTGTGAAGGGATTACTAGAAGTGAAGAGTTCTCTTTTTTCCCTTTGCATTTTCATATGTTCTCTTGTTCTCTGTTTATCTGATCAACCAAACCTTTCCACTTTGTTATGAAGGGGTAGGGTTACTTGAAGTGAAGAGTTTTTTGTTCCTTTGCATTTTCATATGTTTTATTAGTCTCTGTTTATCTGATCAACCAGACCTTTCCACTTTGTTATGGGAGGGATTACTTGAAGTGAAGAGTTCTTTTCCATTTGGATTTTCATATGTTTCTCTCTCCATTTATCTGATCAACCAAACCTTTCCACTTTCTTATGAAGGGATTACTATATTTATTTTCATATGTTTTCTTACTCTGTTTATCTGATCAACCATACCTTTCCACTTGTGTTATGAGGAGGGATTACTTGAAGTGAAGAGTTCTTTTCTCTTTGGATTTTCATATGTTTTCTTACTCTCCATTTATCTGATCAACCAAAACTTTGCACTTTCTTATGAAGGGATTATTAGATGCATTTTCATGTGTTTATTTATTCTCTGTTTATCTGATCAACTAGACCTGATATGAGGAGGGATTAGTTGAAGTGAAGAATTCTTTTCCTTTTGGATTTTCATATGTTTTCTTGAACCAAACGTTTCCATTTTCCTACTGATCACCATCAGAACTTCCATCACTAGAGTAATAGAGGAGAACGAATTCGCACTAAAATTTTGCGGCCAAGACAGTGAAACCATTTGAGAAAATTTTTCTTTAATGAAAATTCATCCATTGGAGCTATGTTAATGCAGGTATGATTCACGAGTCAGGGATCTTTTAGACTTCAGCATTTACTTGGACATCAGCAACGAGGTCAAATTCGCATGGAAGATTCAGGTACACATTAATCAGATCATTTCAGAAATTTCCACCTATCTACATCTCCAATTTGAAATTCAAATCAAAACGATTGCAGAGAGACATGGCGGAGAGAGGCCACAGCCTCGAAAGCATCAAAGCAAGCATCGAAGCACGAAAGCCAGATTTCGACGCATATATCGGTAATAATTAAGCTTCAATTTCAATCAGCCATAACCAACCAGATGAAAAAAAAAAAGAAATTAGAAAAACTCACCAGAATCTGAATGCGATTGATTCTTTCATTGTTGCCGGCGCCAGATCCACAGAAGCAATACGCCGATGCGGTGATCGAAGTTTTGCCGACGCGACTGATTCCAAATGACAACGAAGGGAAAATTCTTAGGGTTAGATTGATAATGAAGGAAGGAGTAAAGCATTTCAATCCAGTTTACCTGTTCGACGAAGGCTCCACAATTTCATGGATTCCTTGCGGGAGAAAGCTTACGTGCTCGTATCCTGGAATCAAGCTTTTCTGTGGCCCTGAAACCTACTTCGGCCATGAGGTAATCCTTCTGAAACTTCGCATTTCACCATTTCATGCAGAGACTTCAAAACTAACATGTTCGTATCGTATCAGCTTTACAAGTTTCTGTTCATCGATTTTATTGGTTCGCCTGCTTTGGATTTTTTAATGCCTAAATTCTAACTTTGGTTCCTCGTAATTGTGTCTAATCAATTTTCAAAGGTTTTAAAGCGAACGCGCTCAAAACTTATCTCCGACTAAAAATCTGTGAATTTGAATTTTTAAATCTTACATATCACACTCTAATAAAAGTTTAAAGGAGAGATTAAAATAGATGTTTCGAAATTATATGGACCAAAATAAATATATAGGATTTAACCATTCTCAAACTTTAAAAAATATTTTATAGATATTTAAATATTTTTAGTTTATATCTAATATATATTTGAACTTTAAAACTGTGAAGTCCATAATTGTTTTTGAATTGAACTTTGTGTTCAATAGAATCTTAAATTTCTAATTATATATTTTATAGGTCCGTAAAATATTTTTAAAAAATGTTGAATAGGTTGACGACTATTGGATATAAAATTGAAAGTTTAGGAACCTATTAAACACTATTATAAATTCAAAAACCTATTAAAGATAAAATTGTAAGTTCAAGGATCTCAACACTTTTCAAAGTTTAGAGACTTTTTATGCATAAATTTAAAAGTTCAATGCAAAACTTATAATTTTACATTTTTAATTTATAAATTTAAATTATAGGCTAAATTACAAGTTTAGTCATTGAATTTTCAAAATTGTGTCTAGTAGCCTAGTATGTTCGTTAACTTTAAAAAATATCTTATAACTCTATGGACTTTTGTCTAATAGGTTCCAATACTTTAAATTGTCTAATAATTCTAGAGTTATAGTAATTTAAACACTATTTTTTTTAAGTAATAATTTCTCAAGTACTTTGACTAATGACAATGTCAATCACTTTAGAGCTACTATTTGAATAATCATCTCTCAAACGCTTCTTCAAAAAGGGTTTTAAAAATATTTTAGTTTATGCAACGTCATAGATCTTTTTTAAAATACTTTTAATCGTCTTAGCACACTTTAAATTAGTAATTATCAAAAGATGCTCATAGAAAAAATCTTTTATTTAAAAGGTTTTTTTCTTTTTTTCTTTTTTCAAATAGCATCCCAAATCCACATTTGATTATAATCTTGATATGTAAGAGTAATGTAAGAGTAATATAAAAGTACTTATGGCAAAACACCAAAAGCACTCAAACTGATTTGTGGTCAAGTATTTTGGCTCAAGTGCGACGTACATGAAAATACTTGTAAGACATAAAAATGATTTGTTATTAAACCGTTTAGAACGAAACTACTTTTGTTAAAATCACTCATTCGAGGCGTGCTCGGTCTTGATATGTAGGTGAGCGTGTTGGAGATGGATGGGCAATTTGACAGATTGGACGAACTGATATATGTAGAGAGCCATCTAAGCAACATCTCCACCAAATTCTATGGCGAAATCACACAACAAATTCTGCAGCACTCTGATTTTCCTGGAAGCAACAATGGCACAGGCCTCTTTCAGACCATCATTGGCTTGAAAATCAGAGACCTGTATGAGCAGATTATAACCTCCAACCAACCTTCTCAGCCTCAATCAGCAAAGGCCTAAATCTTGTCGGTTCGGTTTGTTCGTCGAGTGGTATCGGATCGGTAGTAGTTTTGTGATATAGAGAATTACATGTATTGTTTTGTTCGGAGTGTAAACAATAAATTTATTGTAGGAATAAATCTCGTCTCCATGCTTTGAGATATTTTCTGCTTTTGTTTTCAAATATGATATTTGTTAACCTGAACATAGCTCAATGAATTAAGACACCTGTCTGTGTTAAAGATCACACATTGAAAAGGGAGGGGACCTAACAATGATTTATAATAGACGTGGGCTACTCCTCTCATTGCTTACTAGTTCTTAGATGGAACTCCATGAATATTAATATGATATCAGAGTCCAAAACGAACATCTAATCCAACCAAGATCGATGAGCCAAAAGTGTCACGATCTTGAGGGGATAGACTACTCTTCTCATTATCAATTGATTTCGGATTTGAGATGGAACACCATGAATATTAATAGTCTGCAACTAAAAGATCGTAAGTTTGAATCTCCACTCTAACGTTTATACTCAAAATATATATAACTGTGGACATATATCACATATATCATCGAACAAAATGGTGGAGGTTCTCACATGTTGGACTAATAAGAAATCTCCTCTCAAAGAGAGAATCATACCTCTCAACAATTTAATATCTTGTTGGATAAGTATTTTGTTTTTAATTTTCTATTTTTGAAAATATTTCACCTATGTAATTCTTTGCTTTTCAATATAATTTTTAAAAATATTTTAAGAATTTATGATCCACAAAGTCTTGTCAATCAAAGACAAAAGGCATGAAACTGAAAATAAACACTCAATAATGCTTTTCATTGGGAATGAGATAATTACAATTAATGAAGACGAACATAATGTTGGTTAAACTAATTGGCTAGGGGGTGTTAATTCTATATATAGAAAAAGAAGATCCGAATGTAAATCATTCCTCCTCGAGCCTGCAAATTGCTTGACGAAAAGTTAAACTTACCGATCGAAAATGAGAAGGAATCAACAAACCATTCTATGCTCGTAACGGATACTAACTGCACAGATGCTCTATTCTCTCGAAGGCAATGTTAATTTCTATATCGACTAAATTTTTGCATTCTAAGGCTCGGGATCGTAACAATAGGCATAGTGGTGAGAAGGATGTGAAGGATATACAAAGTGAGGAGGGGAGGGAGGATGGTAGATATAATGGGGTGGGGATTGGGGATGATGATGAACAGTGTGTGGTGGGGAAGGAGAGCTGAGTTCACTCACAGAGCTGTCCTCATGAATGGGAGATTTCTGTTTCTCTACTTTAACCTCTGGCAACTCTTCTTCCTCAAAAGACCTGAAAATTGGATGCAGGTAAGCATCTGCCAAGAATGCTTTCACGTTGAGGTTGGGTTCGGTGCTCCGCTCTAGTGTATCCTTGGCCATTGCTTCCTACATGAGCAAAAATGATGAAATATAAAACTTGGAACTTTGGGAAAGAAGTGTAAAAATTAATATGAATTATAAGGTGGGTTACAATCCCACTCTCGAACTTTCAATTTCAGTAATATCCACTTGAACTTGTGCCATCTTTGCAATTATGTGGTCTTAAAAATTACAACTCTGCTAGTGGCAGTTGCCAGTTTGAAAGATGCACAAATCAGTTCTGAAGTAGAAGGATTGTTACAATCACACTTTGGGTTGTTGGGGCGGTTAAAATTAAACTTGCGAAATTATTGTAATTATACTCCCAAACTTGAGAAATTGTTGTAATTAAACCCGACTACTAACATGGTTTAATTGAACAATTTTGGCTCAGATGTAGTATTTTCCATTTTTTCGAAACTTTGTGGTGAACCAGCAAGGCATGAACAAGTGCATAAAATATCAAATACATGTAGATTTGAAGTATTTAGAATTTACCTCGAGAGGGTATTTACGAAATGCAGGTTCGAACCGGTTCTTACAGTACTTGTGGAAGAACAATGTCAATATCGGTAAGGCGACGAGCAGTGGAGTAGAATTGGCAGCCTTTTTTGTACTCAGCAAACCCAATAGAAGTAGTTGAGATATCAACAAGCTTGCTATGATGCGGCTGTGGACATGGGGCCAGAATGCACCAACACTCTCATATTGCTGATTATATACATTGATTATCTGCACAGTAGATCCATGTTTGAAATATACGAATCACTAAGCCATCTAAAGACATGGGATCAAATAAATCCAGGTATGTCAACCATATTCCTTTCCGGTCACCACAACGAAATGTTCTGTTCTAGTGAATTTGTGCAGCTTGCTGTAAATAGAAGGGAAAATACGTATTGAAGTGTGCCTATGTGTCTTTTCTCTTTCTAATGTGTCCACAACAAAAAAATATGTATTGAGTGGTCGGGAGCAATCGAGTGAGTAGTGACTAACCTGATGGCGGTAGACCAAGTATGCAAATGCGAAGAAGATGAGAATAAATGGTAGAAGAATTGGGGTGACCACAGCATAGACAATTCCTAGCAGGAAGTACAATTGTAAGCTCGGTAAAGTTTCGGGAAACTCCACACTTCCTGGGTCCATTGCCTTCTCTCTATCTCTTTCAGTTTTCACCAAAAAGAGATTCTTGAGATGAAAGATAACCAGCGGTTTCAATCGAAGAATCTCACTTGCTATTCCGGCCCACCCATCCACCATTATGTAAGTGATGAAGAAAGTAGCCTTCATCGGTATAGAAACTCCAATTGTCCGGGGAATTCTGCAAACAAGTTCACCAGAGAATCAAAAGATGCATAGGATGCCATTTGAAGTTGATCTTTAATTGAAGATTTTATAGTTCATATACATTAGAGAGAAGATCAATTTGAAATTGCATATCATTAATTTAGAGTGAGAAACATTACTGTGTAGGAGATAGGTGAAGGAAGGAATGCAGTTGCTCAAAAGCAGTACCAGTCACAATACTTCCCAAGAACACATTTACCAGCATAAAATAATAGTACTTCGCCGCAGCCCTTCGCTCGAGCATAGAAACTGCTACATGCCCCTCGATTTTGGACATGATCATTAGAACTGTTGGGAGTATATATAGAAAGACTTTGAGAGCCAAGCCAGGAAGAAAACCCTGTAAAAATGATTTGACGAAGCTCCTGTTCGAGAAAACGAGGTTAATGATCAATCTTAGAAGATTTCACGTTAGGAAGTAGTCGAGTAGATTGACTTACAATTCAATGACTGGCCGTAGGAATGGGGCGACTCGTTCAAGACCTTCCAGATTGGCAAGTGATTGAACAAAAGCAATTGGAATCATATAGAAGAATACCAGAGCGAAAACTGATAAGGATATAACCAGTTTTCTAATGCTGAGGGAAACAAATGGTATAGCAAGGTTTCGCCAATAGACATCACGAGGTTCTGGAGCCCAATTTGTCAGCCATGATGTGGGATTTTTGCTCTGCTGAGTTTGTGCACAAACTGCAGCGCCCCAACGAGAATTAAATGAAACGAAAGCAACTGGTGAAATTGCTTTTGGATCTTTGATGATTTTCTGTCTCTCCAATGCCATCTAATCCGTGAACAGAGTATTAAATTTTCATCATGTCACAAAATTTCATTATATTGGAAAAAATTCAATGAAATAGAAAAAAGAAGCATAAAAATCAACAAAATATTACTAGTATAGATATACATTCACCTTTCTTTGTTTGTAATCTACTTTTTGAAAACTAAAAAAATATTTTTTTAAAACTTGTTTTTATTTTTTAAATTTAGCTAATAATTCAAACGTGTTATTAAGAAATGTGATTAAATATACCAAAGAAATGATAGGAAGCCAGCATCATTTTCAAAAACATAAAGCTAAAAACAAACGGGTTATCAAGTGGGCCTAAAGAAATAAAATGTCGAGAACTTTTGAGTCTAATGACTTACTCTCGCGTCGAGATCCTTAATTTGTTGTTTGTAGAAATCGATCGAGTCGACTCTAGTGCCACAGAGTCCAAACAACCCTATCTGAAAGAAAGAGTTCGAACTGTCAAATTCAAATGTATGGCTATAAAAAGTAAAATTCCTAAGTCATATTCAAGAGTATTGGTGAATGGATGGATACCTTTCTAGTCGGTCTCTTATCGGGATGTCTTTCAAACTTAAGTTGGTTGTAATCCAACCAATTTTGGAGCCTTGCTCTCTTCTTTGCCAGTTGAGCAAACTTGTTTGCATTATATATTGCCTAAAATCAAGAAATTAATTAAAAAATAAATACCAGATTGAGAAAAAAGAAGAAGTCCAGTTTCCTTCAATATATTCGTATATGGTACAAGTATCACCTGATGAGAAAGATAATGTTCTGGATGGATTTTGTGAAAGAACTGATCAACACTATCGGACGTCGAGCGACCCGAAACATGTGGTACATTCCTAACCAACACCTGTGAAGAAGATAACAGTAAGAATTATTATTTGGACTGATGTTCAATAGAAAGTCGAACACTTTTGACTGGAATAGGAATCTCTAGTTCAATATTGTGACACATTTCATGACCTTCAAAGAATTGTATATGATTCATCCTAAAATGAGTTCATATTCTAAAAGGAGAAACTTCAACCTCCATGTAGGAGATTTAATTTCAGCTACATAGTGTCTAGGGATCCAAACAGGCCAAGTTACAAGTTTGTTCAATTTTTTTTTCTAGTGGTTTATTTGTGTTAGTAAATATATTTGATCATTTATTTTTGTGAATTCTTAATTTAATTTTATTTATGAAGCTCGACAAGTGAACGAGTAATATCAATGGAGAAGAAAATGACATTACAAAGGTTCAAACTTAAGAGTCTCTACTCTAACTATGGTAAAATTAAAATAAATACTAAACCCAAAACCTTAAGCTAATAGATTAGGGTACATTTAATCATTTTTATATATTCTTAATAAAGTGCGGTCCTTCAAGCTTTTGAGGAAATGAGAGAGACAGAGAGATGGAGTGTCGAGTTGATCCACCATGGTGGGACCCGAGTGCCAGAACACACAAAGTTTCTCAATAATAATGAACAAATGGAATGAGACCAAATAATTAACTACAACAATTTTCTCCCCGATGATCACATAGATAAATGGTTCTCATAAAAAATTCTTTACTCACAGTGAACTGCTCAGCACGTCTGCGTTGTGATGCCAAGAAATTCAATCTCATTTGTGCTACATTGTCGTATTCTTTGTAAAGCATGTAACAAATCCATATTGTGAACAGGTACTCCAATCCTATATGAGCAAAAAACCTGAAACTCAAATGTAACAATTGTTCTGTTAATGTGCATTTCCCAACAAGTCACAGAATAGAGATCTGGAAAAAAAAAATGACTATTTTATTTTCTCCCAAATTTTGGTTGAGTATTCGCCTGTAATCAACATGTTCAGTTCAATTCACCTAAATATTTTATATTTTTCAAAAAAAAAAAAGAAACTTAGATTTCAGTATGAGACTGACTTCAACTAGAGTTGTTAACAATCTACTTACTGAATTTCGTAAATCAAATTAATATGAGCTGGGACATGCAGAGTTGTATTGAGAATGGTGTGACACTGGGTGAAGATGATAAAATTAAATGTCACTTCACCCTATCGTCCCTATAATGTGGATAAACAAACAGATTTGAGCATTTTCTAACATGATGATAAATAGTAAAATTCATCTACTAGTGATTTATGATGACAAGGTAAGCTCACCTTATAGATTGGGGACGAACATTGGATATCGAAAGCTTATCGATGTCACTTACAACCAATTCTTTCCTTAAGAAGAACAACGTCCCACTCGACACATTGACCGGGATAAGAACAAGGAGCGCAACAATGGTTATTGGCAAGAATATCTTCAACCTGCCAGTAAGCAAAGGGATAGAGAAATCCTTATAAATTGGCAGTAACAAAAATCTCATTTGATAATATTTTATTTTTATTCGAAATACTAACAGAATAAGGTTTTGTCTGAGAAAGTGTTTTCAAAATAGTTTTGTCTTTTTTTTACACTGTTTTTAAGAGTTATGATTGGATGACCTTTTAAATGTTAATGTTACTGTACAAGAGGGAAAATATTTTAAAATACAGGTCACTGATGAGAATACTAAAATAATAATAATAATATTTTTAGAAAGATGAAGAACATTCCAAATAAATTCAAGTCAACGAGCTTAATTTGAAACAGAGCCAAAACCATGGGCAGCAGATAAAAGCTTGTAGATTGCCCAATATCGGTGAAAATTGCAAGTTTGGCCCTTGAACTATCGAGATTATGTCTAATAGATTTCAGAACCTTAAAAAATTGTCTGATAGATTCTTAAAACTTTTCAATTTTGTGTGGAATAGGACCTTGATGAATTAGATATTTTGTAAAATTCATTGAAAGTTCATCAATCTATTTTGTCAAATATTGAAAGTTAGAGACTCCTTAGAAGTTTAAGCACTAAACTTGAAATTTAACCCAAAAATCTCAAACAGTAAAAGTCCACAGAGTAAAAAGAAAAAAAGTTGCATCTCTGAAATAAAAATTCCTCCTAACCAAAATCACAATCAACCCAACACGAAGAACAGAGACAGAGCATTCCAATTCAGAATCATCTTGAAAACAGAAATCATGAGAAACAGATACAATTAGCAAAAGGGAAATTTACCCGAGAGTGTAGATTCTGAGAAAAACAGCAGAATCAAACCCAGCGTGGGCGATGATTTCAGTCTCACTCATCTTCAGAGCGGCCGGCATCCAGTTCAAGAAGGAGAGATAAGTGAATATGTTGAGATTAACAAATTTTCCGACGAAATTTCTGGAGCTCCGGGGACTGCTCCGTCCGCCATTGATGTACAATTTGGGGAAGTAAACTCTGTCGTTAATGGGTTGGATTCTCAGCAGAGCGAAAGCCAGAAGAAAGACGAAGGCAGTGAGGATGTTGATTAGTGCAGAAACTCCAATATCGCCGAGAGTCGCCATTGGAGGGGTGGGAGCTCAGATTGAAGGAGAAATTTCTAGAGAAAGAGAGGGAAATTGAAGGATAAGAAAGAAAGGAATATGAGGAAATTTGTGTAGTGGGTTTTGCAAGGAATGGATAATCAAATGGGAGAGCGATTTTTGCTTGTGGGATTTGGTCATTGACCTCACCAGAATGCCATTTTAGTAGTTCACTGCATGTGCAGAACGCAAGTGGGAGAGAGAAACAGAGGGAGTGAGTCTCTCTCTCTTTTTTTGAAAAATAATTAGCTGCATGCTCAATAACTTTTTTTCTTTTTTAATTAACTTCGTATAATTCAGCGGTAATAATTATATATCTCAAAGGGGTGAGTTAATCGTCAACTTTCCCATATTGTATTAAAAAATTATTTTAATATTTTGAAATATAAAAAAATTTATATATATATATAGATACATTGTTTTAAATATTTATTTCTCTTAATTAGTTGATGGATAATTATAGAATATAGAGAAAATTCTGGTAATAAGATGGTATGAGATTTTTTTCTCGAAAAAACTTCACTCTTAAAGATTTAGGGGGAAGCTCCTCCTGAATGATCGAGGTCGAGTAGTATATAGACGAGTGGATAAGGTAGTAATTATACAAAATTAACAAAAACATTTGTCTATATAGGACCATACAGTAATTGAGAATGAGCTCCCTCCAGTTCCTCTAAATCTTACCGAGGAAAGTTTTTTACAGGAAAAAATCTGATACCATATTATTACCAGAATTTTCTCCCTACTCTATATTTCGTCTTTTTTCTTGCTACCATACAGTGATGTATTTTTTTATTTAATAAAGAAATACTGCATTAAAAGTAAATAGGACTACTAAGAGTTCTATCATATGAATAGTGACCATGCATTATCATCACAATCCACGAAAAAAACAATTGTCTCAGACAAAGAAATGATTAAAAATAGGTCAATGGAACAAATTATCCGTTAAAGAATTAGGTATGTGAATAAATTTTTAGCCCACAAATTGAGATGATGTTTAATAACAATGTTGATTGTGTTAAATAAAATAATATATTATCTAATGATGTGTCAAAATGTAAATATAACTCGTAAAGAAAAGAAATAATACTCTCTCCTCATCGGGTTCACAGAGTTTTAAAAAATTAGTTTAATTTTTATTTTTGCACTATATTTTCGGGCTTTTCTATATTTTTACTTTTGTAAATTTAAAATGATTTATTTTTGCTCGTGAAATTTTTAAAAAACGTGATTTTTTTTTGGCACTCTAAATACAAAAACAAATTAACACAAGTATGACAATATTTAACTCAAATTATTTAGATAATGAAATAAACATTTTAAAAGTACAACCATCAAAATAAAATAAAAGTGAAAAGTATATAAATTTAGATGCATTAGATTACCGTCAACCTGAACATAGCTTTAAAAATACTAGATTTAAACATTATAAAATAATTTTTTTTTATATGAGAATAAGAATTCAAACTTACAACATTTTAATCGGAATTAGTTAACCACTTGAGCCATATTCGAGTCGTAACAAAAAAAATTAAAAATCAATGTTAATCTCTCTCTAAAGTGAAATTCTTTTATTACTTAGAAATGAATAAATAAAATTTGAAGAAAGAATAAAGCGAAGATCTTCAGCATAGGCTGTGGCGGCGTCGCTGTCAATATTCGACTGGTTTCACTTTCATTTCCACGCCGCGGAAAAGTTGGGTGTCGTCGTGAGGAACCCAAATTAGCGCCAATTATTTTGGTGTTTTTTATTTAATTATTTGTTTATTTAATTATTTTTTCTTAATCTCTTACCAACTTCCACCCCCAACATTTTGATTCTCTTTCGTCTGATTTTGGAAATAAATTAATGAGGAATTAATTAGAGGTTGGGAATTATTTTGGTCGCATATTAACTTTTGAATGGTTTTCTTTATTATATCATTTACATGTATGATATAACTCAAATCAAATTTAAATTTAAATGTAGCGTAAAAAAAACATTTATAATATATGTTTGAAAATATTGAAAATGTGTTGTATTTTTCAAAGTACATATTAAATTTATATTTTTCTAGTGAAATTTCTCGTTTTTTAGTAGGATCATTTCTTGCCATAATTTGGTTCCTATGTTTAATTTCATATTACATTATAAATTTTGCTTTTAAATTATTCACAATGTATTATCCACTTTAAACTTTGAAAAGTTTCAATTATATATCTGATTTTTCAAATTATGTTCGTATTGTCAATACTATTATATGTCAAAATATTGACATGACATTAAAATAATTTTGGTCATTACTTGGTAGAAGTTGCGTCTTCGGGTTGAACCTAATACTTCACATATATTTTTAGGCCCCAAGCCACATTCCTTAATAACACATTAAAATAATTTTAATTGAGTTAATATGATAAGTAGCTTGAGAGGCTGACCGTATGCCAATTTAACATTATATCAATAATATTAACAAAAGAGTTTTATTTCCTTTTATTTCTTAAAATACTACACATATGTAGTAGTAGTAATAATAATTGCACATTTTAAAGTTTTTTTCAATAGGATGAGGATTCCAACTTGTAATTTCTTAATTATAAACAAATATCAATTATTGCTAAAATAAGCTGAGGTTAGTGGGCACATTTTAAAGCAATTGAAAATATTTTCAAGACGGAAAATTCAAATACTAAATTATGGTTTGTGTTCTCCCATCTCTTTAATTAGTATATATCAATTAATATTTTATCTAAATTTACTATCATAACCCAAAAAAAAAAACAAGTCAAGTACTACATTAATCACATTTTATGACAATTTTAACCAAGTGGATAAAATATACATATATTTGGATCTCCCATCTCATATCTATTGAATCAATATAATTTTTCATTGTGTTAAATAATTTTTTTTAGTTGAACGACATGTAGAATAGAAATTCAAACTTCTAATATTTTACTCTCTGTTTGGAACCTACGATTGGAGGGATTTCAAAATCTAAATGGATTTTGAAATCATTTCACGTGTTTGGATATATAAAGAAAAAAAAGAATTTGAAATCCTAAATGATTTGAAATTCAATTTTTTGTTCAAACATTTTTCGTTCCAAATAGGTCGGATTTGTGAGGATTTTAAGTTTGAACTTAACAAATTTTGATTTTGCACTACTTTAGTGGAAAAAGAATACATATCACTTCAACCTCATTTGCAGATCATCGTCAACCAAATTAATTTCAAATTTGGATTTGTCTACTTTTTTTTTAATGCTAATAACCATAAACTGACTCTCTCTTACATTTCTTTTTTCATCACCATTCAAACAAACTAAGGTTAATTTTCTATTTTGTTTTTGGTGTATTTAATTTTCCTCATATTTCAATATTTATTAGATCTTTATATTATGTTTTTTTTATTTAGATCTTTATGTTTATGTTTTAGTTTGTATGTTTTTTTCTTCTTTTTAATATTTGAATCCGAAGTTGAAAAAAAAAGCATCGAATCAAGAGATTTGAAAGTTTTTTTTTTCAATTTAGGTTTTAAAATAAATGTGACATTGATAAGTTTTAACTATTGTTCAGTTAATTTGATTAAATTATTTATGTTTCAGTTTATATTAAAATATTATATTATTAATAATATAATATTCTGCAAAATATTAAGGGCATAATAGTAAAATATTATACTTTATTTTCATTTTTGTGAACATCTAAACAAAGAATTTTAATTTTAATGATTTAGAATCATTTTTGTTCCAAATGCAATTAAGAATTCGAAATCATTTCCGTCCTTTAAAATCCTGGAATTTGAAATCATTTTATAGCAATTCCATATGTCAAAGGAAGCATTAAATTTTAGGGAAATCCTTAGGAATGACTACAATTATCGTTAAGCAAAATGACCAAAATTTTTCTAAATTGCATGACATGACCAAAATTAGGAATTCGGATTTTATCAAGTTAGGTATATATTTAAGTGGGCCGGTGTTAGATTAATATTTGTTTGTTATTTTCAAAATAACTACTATTTAGCATGGAGTTGTTGGTGTCATGTGATTGCTTTGAACCCAAAATACAATAAAATAAAATAAAAAAAGAAAAAAGAAAGTGACTTTTAATTAAAAGGAAAGTGTGGTTTGCTAAGTGGTGGTAATGTGGGATCATCATTCAAATCCATCATTAATTAAAGTGGGCAAATCATGCCTTTTTAAATTTTATACTTTAATTTGATTTTATCCCCTCTCAAAACCATAGTCATAAGAAATAAGTAGGGTTTTTTTTTTTTTTTTAAATTTCATTGCCATTTGAAGGGCACAAATTAAATTATCCAAGTAACGAGGGTTGTTCAGCAACTAAAATTTAAATTAAGCTTTCACATTTGATTTTTTTTTAATTTTAAATACCTTATTTTAATCTTTGAAACCTTGTGAAAATTCATTTGATTTTGGTAAATATAATCTTTATCTCTCATGCCTTATTCTCCACCATGATAGGTAAGGAATGATTAGACAAATTCTCAAATCGCCTCCAAGGTTGCCTTATTCTTCGTCATGACATGTAAGGAAGGATTAGACAAATTCTCCAAATCACACTGGTCACGAATTTTAATATAATTAAGACTAATCGCATCCCCATATTCCAAATGGTGTTTGAGCCGATTATCGTCGTCGCCCACCTTTTGCTCGGTCTTCCTTGCCCCTGGACCATCGAAGTTATTTGAACCAAGATGTAACGAAAATGAAAAGTCATCCTAAGAGATCGCAGGCGGATGCCCTCTCAAATTCTATGTTTAATAACTCTTCAAAACAATGACAAAATCGCAAATCATACATAACAATATTGCCTTTGATTTTGTTAAGCGCAACGACACTATCAACATCCAAGGGGTACATCCCCAACACCCGGCCACCATCCGCCATCACATAAATCAGTAAGGAAGAAGGATCCTCCCCGAAAATTGTCTCCACAATAGCATGAGAATTCCTTATTAAATTCTAATCCATGCTACTTAGTTCTTGAAAAAAATCACGAAAACACACTCTCTCCACAAATAGAAGAAAGAGAGGAGAGGAGCAAGCTGCTGGGCACATAACCCCTCCCCACTTTTGGCTTTTAACTCTTCTCAATAAATATATATATTTTTTAGAATTCAGCTACTCCCAATATACCAAATCGAGCATGACTCGAGTGGTTACTGACTAAAAGATCATGAGTTTGAACCCCATATTGTACTATGAAAAAAAACTCCTCTCAATATATAATATCTTATAAATCTCAAATTATATAATATAAACACGGCCATAGAATTAATAATATTTTTGGAATGGAATAAGAATTTTTTTTTAACAAAATGTATTTAATAATTAAACGTAAGATGAAAGCTTTTTTTCTTTTTTAAATAAAAATCCTTAAATCTCTCCCTCTCTCTAAACGAATATGGAAAATGACAAAAAGGAGAAGCGTTTAGTTGATTAGGCAAGACTAGAAAGAATAGGAGTTCGTTCCAGCACTGTGTGGGCCCCACCTATGCATGCTAAAGTCCAAAGCCTCGTGATTGCGCCAAAGATTCCCAAAAACAGGCGAGTGGGGCCCACACGCTGCCCATTTTTATGTTATTTTTCTTTTTCTTTTTTTTTTCTTTTTCCTAATTATATAAATCGCATGGAAATAAAATGGAAAATTAACAAAGGGCTGGGCCCAAATGTTACTTGGGCTTCAGCGTGTGTCTCACATGCCCAAGGCCCAACTATAGAATTTCCAAGGAATTGTTTTCTTTAGTAACCAAGGAAACTTCGGTTCTTAATACCCATTTGTTTTCAAAATTTTAGATATATAAGCGTGCGTTTAGTAACTAATAATATTTTTATTTATTATTTTAGAAACGTTTCTAAAATTGTGTAGATATTTTAGAAACAATAAATACGGAAAAAATAAAAAAAAACAATGAAAAGATACCAACTATGAGCGAATGATTTTTTTTAATGGGAAATAAGTTTCTTAACCAATTCAATCATACTTAAGTTGGTATTAACAAATGATCTTTATTTTATTAATATTAATGCATTGTCAATGGTGAAGGCTGGACCTATATAATATATATATATATATATATATATATATAATTTTTCTTTTATTTTGAAAGGAAATAATAAAGCAAATTACATTAAGACATTCAGACGTTAAAGTTCCTGAATTCTCTGCCGGCCACTCCTCTATCGAGACGACTTATTCTTGTCGAAGCAAAGCCCTTTGCGCTAGCAAGTGCACGACTACGTTTTCGTCCCTCTTGATGAAAATGTAAGATGCATGCAAGATATCCGAGAAATTTGATTTCACCAGATTAATAATCAAATCTGTCCTCGATAGGTCTTCCTCCTCTCGAATCAAAAGGTTAAAGGCACGCATTGAATCGGTCTCGAGCTGAATTGGACAGATCCCTGCCTCCATCGCCAAATAAATGCCCTCCCAAAACAGCAAACGCCTCAACTTCATCCACAAACGTAACATATTCTCCAGGTACTTCGTCTTCGCTCCCATAATATGACCTCTATCCGGCTGAATGATCACTATATGAAAAGGATGCATCTGTGTTAATCTTGAAAATCCCCTCATTTGGAGTACACCAGATAGTATAATTTGTATGTTGAAACTTCCGTTGAAATTGTTGGGATCTACTTGATTATCCTCTATATAATTCGAAGTTTATGATATGGAATTTTTGATCTCGACCTATATAATAAAAATAGAGAATTAAAAAGAAAACTTTACTTCCACGTTGTAAATTATAATTGCGTTATTATACCTCTTACACAAAGAAATAAGATTCAATCCTCATTTATTTAAAGAGGAAATTATCAATGATACAAAGGAAAAAAAAAGATGTAGCTTTAGACCAAAGTAGACAATTTCTCACCAAAAAAAAAGGAGGACCAAAATAGACAACATTGGAAAAGAAAAATTGTTGATGAGAAAATGTTCATGTTCATATTTTCTCAATCACAAGTTTGAATAGTATTCCCAAAACGATGAGAGGGGGAGTTAGTTCTAATTTTCTTACACAAGGGAAAAGAAAAAAGGGGTTATTTTCTTTAACCATTTTCCAAAATTGGATACTATACGATATTTGCATATTTATTCAATTCTCTGCAACTACAACAACACGACGGCGGAAACAAAACTCCGGCGCCGATCACCGGCGCTCCATCCTTTTTCAGATCCTCAGCGGCCCGAGCGAGTCGCAGCAGGCGGCGCAGACGAACAACGGCGGCACGTTATCGGAATCATCGATCCCGCAGCAGCGCGTGTGCTGCCAAACCTCGCAGATGTCGCACGCCACCATCCTCTCGCCGTCGTCGTCTCCGGCGCCGCACTCGCACCGGACTTTCCAGGTATCGACTCCTCCTTGGTACTTCAATGGCGTCTCCAAATCCATCCCCATTCCTTTCACAAACAACTCCATTCCCGACTCTACCGCTCCGAAAATCACCTCACGGTCTTCGAAGTTCTCCATATTCTCGATCTCCATAACCACGAACTGTTCCGTGACGTAATATGTGTCTCTTAGGGCTTTTTCTGCTGCTTCCTTCACGTCTCCGATGGTGGCGTGTAATGGAAGAACCAACACTTCGCCGGTCGGCATCAAATCGTTCTTCAACTCCGATTCCGACTGTGTAAAAGCCAGCCTCGGAGTCAATCTGCAAATGAACGTCAATAGATGATCTTCTTCGTCTCTGAGAGGCCATTCTTTGGCGAAATGTTTGCTATCGAGGACTCCCTGAGTCGCTAGTTCCACCATTTCTGATTCTGGATAGTCGAGAAAAATGTTTCTGTAAATACACTGCACGTCGCTGTAGATATCGTCGCCGGGAGTTGGATTCGATTCTGAGGTTGGTGATGATTCTTGTTCCTCATCTTCTGTTAATTGAACGCCATTTCTGAGTTCGTGAATCGTGTATTCCAAAATCCGCGTCTTAGGGTTTACGGCGCGGCGGACTATTTGGTTCCCAACAATCACATTGTTCAGTGATTTTAGAACATAATCAAGCAATCCGGTGTCGCCGATGTGAAGGCGAGCCGCGTCTCGCACGTCCTGTCGAGTCATTCCGTTTCCGCCATGGCTGAATCTGTCTCTTTTCTTCTCTTCCAGCGCCTTCACGATCACCTCCGCCGCGAATTCCAGGCGTCTCGCCGGCCATCGGCTGTCCATGTTTGAAATTGCGGTGGCGAACTTTTTGTACCGCATTTGCTTCTCCTTCGCCAGAGGCTGCTGCTTGTTTCGCTGTAGAGATTGTCTGGAAGGAGGAGATTTGGCGATTGGTTGGATCGATTTCTTCTGAATCGTAGTAACGTATTTTACTGTCAGCATAAACTTGAGCAGATCTTTCAATGTGATCAAATGCGTTTCGCTCAGATTTCTGTAATGGCGAATGATTTGCTTCATCTCCGCTCCTCGGTCTGTGTCATCAACGTCGTGGATTATCTTATCGAGTTCCAGTGAACTGAGGATTTCCAAAGCTCTGTTGTAATGGTGTTCTTTCACGCCGAAGCTTCCTCGGCAAAATCTGTAGCCCCATCTCCCAAACCATGGATGGCCATATGCTACCCCATGGAGCAGACGAAGATCCATTGACCTTTTCTTGGACAAATCCTCAACTGTGATTTTCCTGGGAAGCAAACAGGAGACTGATCAGAGAAAATTCGTTTTGACAGTTGAAGAAGAATGTTAATCACTAATGCTTTTGTACTTTTTTTTCTTTCTTTTCACCTAGTTCTAAGATTTGTGCAGATTCTGTCCCAAAGATCCATTACTTCTCTGCCGCAGAGAAATTTGGAGCCTCCTTCGATGCCATTGACGCATAGCAAATGCCCGAAGCCATTGCAGTGAATCAAGCCATGGAGAAGATGAGTCTGATCATCAAGATCGAAAACGCCATCATCAAGACGTTTGTTCCACCGATCATCCAAAGGTATTATGATATGATATTTTCTTTTCGACACAAAATGATTGCTCCACCCTGAAACAATAGAACTGATCAATCTAATAGAACTCAATACAGAATCCATGGAAACAGGAACTCTGTTTTACACCATTGAAGAGGACGTGAAGTTTTCCCCAAGCGAACCCTGAACCCCAGAGCAATAGAACTCAATAAAAAATTAGGAGCCATGAAAGAAAACAAGCATGAATCAGAAGGGAAAAAAAAAAAACCCTATGGAAACAGAAATTCATGGCGAAAAGAGGAGACGAACCAGAGCATCGGCAGTGATCGCAGTAGGGCTTTGGGGAAAGCTTCACGTCCTCTTCAATGGTGTAAAGTGGGACAACAAAGCTTCGATTTTCATGAACGAGGAGAGTGCACCAGATGGGCATTTCTTGAACTCTGTACTCTTCAATCTCCGCACACTGTTGAAGAAAGATTCTGATATTGTCACGAAATGGACCGGTGGGAGTGATCGGAGATCCGGGGTCGCCGAAGGTTTGGAATCCAAAAAGTTTAGGCCTTCGCTTTCTCTTCTTGCAGGATTCGAGGATTGAAATCGACATGGCTGAAGATGAACCGTAGCTCTTCTTCTTCTTCTTCTTCCTCCTCTATCCTCCCCTGGATTTTGGTGCTTCTTCTTTGAGGTCTCTCATGGAGAGAAATTGAAATGGCTGGCAGAGGGATTGTAAATTCTGAAATTGGTAGGAGATTCGCCGGCGGGCGCATGAATTTCCGGTTATTCGGCAGAATGCGGCGGTTTCATTCTTGAATTTGGCGGTTTTGATGGAGGGAATTTGAGAGGAAGCTTAGTTAGAATATTAAAATGGCATTTTTCTTTTCCTGGAATTGATATTGAAATGATTGAAAATTGTTGAAACTTGAAAGTAAGCTGTTGAGTTAGTTTAGTTAGTTTCTTTATTCTTTATTTCTCTTTTTTTTTATAATACATTATTATTTATTGTCGTTTGAAAAAGCTGGTTAGATAAATTTGAATATTGGTAGTCAGCCGCATTGACTTTGGTGCGTAAGTATTATTTGAAATAAATAAATAAACTTGGTTTACATAATAGTGAGTAGAACCTCGTGATTTCAACAATATTTTTAATTTAAAAAAAAACTAATATAAAAAGTATTGTAGTATTGTTCTTATTCACAGGTAGAAGGTAATATTAAGTGATTTATTTGTAATGCATGGAGTAGATAATTAGATCTTAGGTCAAAATACTATTTTTGCCTCAGATGTTTTGGAATTTGGTTCCTTACCCTCAAAATATTTATTTTAGTCATTGTATTTTCAACTTTGATTTATTTTAGTCTCTGTATTTTCAATTTTCATCTATTAATTTTATTTTTAATCTGGTTTTTTCTAACAAAATATTCATTGAAATCTCATCATAATTTTATGTTAATTTTTTTTTGTAATATGTAGAATTTGTTTTAAAACTTTGCAACTGGGAACCAAAATGACCCATTTTTTAAAGTATATGGACCAAATCGAATAATTTAAGAGTACGGAGACTAAAATGAATCAAGTTGAAAATAGATCAAAATGAATATTTTTAAAATATTGGGACTAAAATAAACCAAACTCAAAGTATAGAGACCGAAATAATATTTTAAGCTATGTTTTACAAATATTTTTAAAGTACACAATAAATTACTTCAAACAATGTTAAATATATGCATTGATGAAGTTGTGATCGTTTTTTAAATACATATTAAATTTAGACTAAAGTGTTAATTCTCGTGGAAAAAAATGAAAATTTCACCATAATCCTAAACCTGGATCAACCAGTATTAAAAAAAAGTTTTACTTGAACAATAAAACTTGATAATTGATTCAGATTGTTTCCAAAACA